TTATGTTCAATTAGAGGAGGAAAATGATTTCCTTAATAAAGAGGAAACTCACGGCATTAGTAAAATTTAGGGAAAAATGGCTCTAACTTGTACGGCTTTTTAAGCTTAGATTAGGATATTTCCCATGCTTAACTCTTTTAACGTGATTAATTAACAATTAATCACTAACTTTTATGTTTAATCCTTAATTAAACATAATGCTTAATTACCAAAATTATTTCGAACGTAAACGGTACGTTGAAAATATATTTCGGTAATTCCGACTGAACTTAATTAATTCCGAAAATAATAAACTATAACGTTATTATATCGGAACTAAAACGTAATTTATACCGATAAAATATCGGGATATTACAATGTAAGTTAGTCTCAGTTTGGTTATGACAATTAGTATCACACTTATTTCAATTTATCTTCTAACTCTGAGATACTAACTCAGGCATCGGACGGTCTTGCACCAGAGCAATTCCGCCGCTCTTTTCAGGTACCTACGAGCTTTCAGACTTGGATGAAATCGAATATGGACTTGCGCTTATACCAGAGTGTTATATAGTATTTTTGTTATGTATTGTAGGGTTATGTTAGATTAAGGCCAAACTTAAGCCCATCTTTTGTCTTTATATACATGTACATACTTTTGTGATTAATATATCAGATATTTTTCTCACATTCTTACACTGTATCAGACCAAGTTTAGAGTCAATTTTAGGTTTGTCTTTTGCCGTACGTCTCCGGCCACTACCGGTTCTCACAGCACCTGTCATCATCTCCAGCGTCCCGACGAGTTGTCGCCTGAAAGCTGGTCGCCGTCGCCGACGCGTGTCATCCACACGTGCCTCTTCTTCGTCGCGGCGCTGCGCTCTTTGGGCGGCGCATATGGCCCACCCCGAGCTCTGATCACCGCCGTTTTTTCAGACGACGACTCCTCTCATCGTTGGCTACTTCCTAGTGTGGTCGGTTTTATTGTCAGGACGTTTTTAATTTGGCTTATATTTATATTTTGACGGTATCGCGATCTGCTTCTTGCCTATATTTTCATTTGTTTCGTGATATGTATTGATTTGATTTTTGGACATGGATCTTATGGATATGCATTCTCCTATTGATGTTGTCTTATCTGGGAATAATTATAATATTTTGTTCACAGTCTATGAAGAGTTTTTTAATTGGGAGAAAATTGTGGCGGATTTTAAGTGGTGATGTGTTGCCACCTCTACATCCGTATCTTTCAGGGGATCCCAACCCCACACAACAGGCTCTCACCACTTACGTTTATAAGTTGGGGGACTGGGATAGTAAGAACCAACAGATTCTTACTTGGTTACGTAATACTTTAGTCCATGCTATTCAGGTGCACCTTGCCCTGTTTGATAGTGCAAATGTGGCTTATAATTTTTTGGCTACTCGATTTCAGACTACAGGCCTAGTCACTATTATTAGCTTTGGATCACCTTACATTCCACCAAGCAACAACCAGGTCAATCGGTTAAGGAGTTTCTTGCACAAGTTCAACCTATTCGGTATCGTCTCCAATAAGCTGAGATTAGTTCAGATCACCTTGATCTTATTCAGATTTTGATGGCTATTCTTCCACAGTATGAAGTGGTTCGTGCTTCTCTATTACATCGTCATCCACTGCTTATTTCTTGATACAGCTATTCAAGAGATCACTTTTGAGGAGACTCGTCTTCAGTTGGCCAGGACACCACAGCTTGAGTTTGCATTAGCTGTATCTACTTCTGCTTCTTCTCTATCACATCAGCCTTAGCCACCAGTATCTGTTTATTGTTGGCGTTATAAGAGCTCTGGTCACTCTTTTGCCATTTGTCCTAAAGTGGAGTGCCATTCATGCCATGCTCGTGGTCATATTGCTCCGAATTGTCCAACCAAGTCACAACGTTTGACAGGTTCATCGATTTCGAGGGTCTTGTGGGTCTTCTTCGTCGGCCTCTTCTTCGATTATAGCGATTGTCACTAACGAGCCTCAGCACTCGCCTTACACTCTTCAAGACATAGAAGCTATCCTGAAACAGGTTATCCATTCCAATTCTGCTATGTCTGCTACCGCAGGTAACCCTCATTGGTACTTTGATTCTGGTTGATGCAATCACATGACCTCTAGTCCACAATTTTGACTTCCTCGTCTTGTGTAACTTCTTTGCCTCATATACATACTGCTAATGGTACCCGTGAATATTACTCACACTGGTCTGGTTTCTTCCCACTCTTTACACCTTCCCGACACATACTACATTCCTGACTTGGCCTTGAATCTTATTTCCGTTGGTCAACTGGTTGAACAAGGCCTTAATGTTATTTTTTCATCTTCAGGTGTTCAGGTTCAGGATACACAGACGGGTCAGATTCTCGGGACAAGTCGTAAGATGGGTTGATTATTTGAGCTTGAGTCTCTTCATATCCCTTCTTCTTCCCCATTTTCTGCTCCGGTCACTGATAATACATCCAACTTTCAGTGGAATCTTCGTCTTGGGCATGCGCCTTCAAATAAAGTTTGGTCATTATATAATAAAGGTCTTTTAGGTCCAAGTCATTTTGAGTCTTTTAGTTATCTTCATTGTAAACTTGGGAAACACTTGGCTCTTTGTTTTTTCTATGAATTTGTCAACTGCTTATGAACCTTTTGGTTTGGTTCATTTTGATATTCGGAGTCCTTCTCCAGTTTCTTCTATGAATGTTTTTCGGTAGTTTGTTATTTTTGTTGATGATTTTTCTCATTTTACCTGAATCTATTTTCTCAAACATCGTTCTGAGTTGCCCAACATATATATTCAATTTTCTAGAGTGATTTACACTCAATTTTCTTATCTTATAAAGGTCTTGCATACTTACAATGTCCTTTAGTACAATAATTCTACCTTTTTCAAATTTCTTTCTGATCAGGGCACAGTAGTTCAGCGTTGTCCTTGTTCTTCTCAACAAAATGGACGAGCCGAATGTAAGCATCATCACATTCTTGATACTGTTCGTGCTCTTCTCCTTTCTGATCAATGTCCTGATCGTTTCTGGGGGTGAGGCAGCCTTGAATTCTATTTATTCTAACAATTGATTACCCTCATCTGTTCTTTGAGATATTAGTTTTTCTGAAAGGTTGTACGGTCAGTCGCCTGATTACACAAAGTTACGCCCTTGTGGTTATGTTTGCTTTGTTCTTCTTCTATTCCATGAGCGGAACAAATTAGAACCTCGAGCTCGTGTGTGTGCGTGTGTGTTTTTTCTAGTTTTACGGGGTAGAACACAAAGGGTTTAGGTGTTGGGATCCTATTGCTGATCGGTTGCGTATTTCGCGTCACATTATCTTTTGAGAGCATACTATGATTGGTCGGAAAAAGTGTGTATATTATATATTTATTAGCGTATTTTTATATGATTGATTTTAACGCACTTATATATTTTTCGGCTTATTTATTTATTAGATGGATTTAAGTGCTTTGATATTTTTATGTTTATTTTAGGGAATTGGAGTAATTTCGTGGACGGAGTATGTAGTATCCATTACTAGCCCCATTTTCAGCACAATTTAGGCCCGAACGTGAAAGAAGTAAATAAAATGTGCATCATGCATAGTCCATCACGCATAAAGGCTGGTACATGGACAAATAATTGGTTGATGAAATAATTGGTCTTTGGGTTGTATTAATTTGGAAGATAAAAGATATTATGTGGGCCAGTGAGTCAAATTTCATGGGAATTATTTGGGACAACTCACGCAACCACCAATCATATATTTGGAGGAGGCACAACAACACATTATTTTGAGCAGCCACCAAATTAAAAAGACCTAAGAGTACAAGACTTGCGGGCATTATTTATTTAATTTGAGAGAAACCCAAACACGCAGGCCCTGGGGACAACGGAAGACAGAGCCACACAGAGAAAAGAAAAGAGCAGACAGGCAGGGAGCTCGATCGATCGCGGAGGGAGGCCGCACCAGCACACGAGAAGGATAACTTTATTCTTCTCTTTTTTCTTTTTATTTATTATGTTAGAGTAGTTTTTATTTCTAGTTGTGGGGATGTCGAACCCTACGACTTGACTAGGGCTGCTCAATCGGTCGAAACCGAACCGAACCGACCGAAATTTCAGTTAACCGAAATTTTGGTTTACCCAACTAAAAACCTAAAACCGAACTGAAATTTATAGTTCGGTTTGGTTTTTAACCAAAAATTGTCGGTCGGGTCCGTTCGATGATCGGTTATCCGATAAAATAAAAAATGAAAAAAAAAAGAAAGAAAATATTACAATTCAGCAAATAGAACCTCTGATTTCATCAAATTGTAGCAATAATTAACAAAAAAAATATAATAACATAATTAAGCATAAAAACAGAAGAGAGAAATTGGATTGGTTTAATCGAGTGTAGATCATAGAATCGACGGGATTGAATCGATTTCAGCCTTGAGAGGTTGAATTGATTTAATAGAGATTCAATCGACGGGATTTGGGTGGCAAATCCATTTGAGAAGATAAGCGTTGTTGAGTGCCGAGTGGAGTGTGTGCGGGAGAGGGAGCGCGGCGGTAATTTGGGTTTTCATAGCACCGAACGAGATTGTGAAGTTAGGGTTTACCTGTTTCAGACTTTTTTTTTTCTGGAATTTCCTCTGGTCTATACTCTGTAAAAGAGGGAAGAGATTCAGGTGAGGTGACGATGATCTATGCCAACAAATAGGAATGAGATTGGGTTGGGCCTAGTGCCTTGTGGTGGTTGTTTATTTCATTTTATTATACTGGGCCTTAAGAACATAATTTGGCTAAAACTAAAAAGAAGGGCTTGGGTA